CAATTTTTCCCTGCTGGAAATCACCGACCAACCTTCGGTCGTACTCCCCGTGGCAGTTAACACCGCGGATACCCTTCCGGGCTTACGTCTGACGGCCGTGAACGCCGCCAAACCGGCCTTACCTCTGATGACCATGAACGCCGCCAAGTCCTTTCGCCTTTACCTCTGACGGCCGTGAACGCCGCCATATCCATCTCGCCTCTCTCTCCTACGGACGTGTTCCTGCCGGCCGTGATCACCGCAGCCACACCACGCCCAGGAAGGACTCTCGCGGCCAGCGACGCCGCTCAATTCGCCCATGTCCGGGCGACCTGCTCCAGGCCGCAGTCTCAGCACGCCGATTTCCAACAACTCGGGGAGCCGCTGCGCAACAGGAGGACCTCCGCCGGCGTGCCTCCTTTCTAGGGGCCGCCCACGACGACTCGTCATCCGGGACGATCGACGCTGCCCACCATCCAGAAGTCACCGGCACCACAACGCTCGCCGCCGCCGACCGCGAGGCCATCCACGCCGCTACCTGGGCACACACCTCCCTCGCCGTGCACCGACGAGAAGGGACGAATCGCCGGACGACGAGCCAGGCGCCCAACCGGTTGCTGCAAGCAACGACTCCTGGACTTGTTCGGGTCGGCTTCCTCCTCCGAGGACAGCCTGCTCCGGCCACCGACTCCGTCCGCAGGGGACGCATCGAGGCCCTCGACTTCCTCGAGCGCAACAGCACCCGAGCGGCCACCGACTCCTGGCCGCTCTCTGGAACTCGGCGCGCCACAGGATAGGCCGTGGCAACTCTGCGCCATCGAGCTCGGCTACGTGCAGCATCGGCCGCCGCGCCGTGACATTCGCCGCTTCTACACCGAAGCTACGCTGACCGCGGGACTACCATCGGCCCAGGTCAAGCCTCCAACGCTCACCCCCGCGCCGAGGAGGAGCCGGAGCTCGTGAGAGGTGCAGGGAGCGGCTACACGAACTTGCGCGCGCACGCGCAGAGACAGACGCGACCGAGTCGGCCACACGTTTCTCTCGCGGGACTCAAACCAAGTCCCGCCTGCCTTTGTAACATTTTCCTTTGCGTTTACAAGAATATAATGGCTTTTAATTAACTCAGCGTTTCTTGATTGTTAGCGTGTATGCAACCTTCAGCTTGCGCTCCTATTATTCAACGCATAGCGATACTTGGCTGATAAAACCTTCCGCTTTGCTGGGTGCTGACATTCACACCGTTGGTCCGCCACACAGCTGGTCGAGGACAGATATTCCCCTCGGACCGAGAACCAGCTTTCACAGCCGATTGCAAGCGATGCAGTGCAACAGGCCACACTCACGCTCGAGACGCGGCACACACATGCAATCGTCATCCACGCCACCAAGCACAACACCTTTTTTTTTGTTATAGAGGAGGAATCTTCGTAAGACCCCCACCGGACGAATGGTGGGGAGTGTGGGATTCGAATGGGTGGCACGTCAAACGAAAAGCCACCCAGCCTCGCCTACCCACTAAACCTCTGTAGCCTTAACGACCGTATCAGAGGAGGGTACTGGAACGTTGACGGAACAACATGTCACGAACCCTCCCCCTGGTCTTGGCCCAAAGGGCAACACACTCGCTCGTCACTTTCCAGTATCCGCAGACATGCTCGCTTTCACGTCTGATCAATCAATTGTTTACGCACAGAGCGAAAACGAAAAGCTTGGGTGTACAAAGAACACATACATACACACCCGCCATAAAGGGGTTAATAGTAAGAAGGGGAAGAACACACCCCTCACTATTGAGAGAGGAATAACCCAATGAGAATCGAGTCTGGTTCAAAATTGTGTTACATGTGAACACGCTTTCAGAGAAGGTATTTGGAACGCACCAACAGGCTGCTTTCAAAAACGAAAGCAACTAACTATTCACGAACACACCCACAGGTGTGTTCGTAGGACACAATGTTACTAGGGCAAGGGCACGCATCATTGAGACAGCGAACACAGGTCCATAATCTTGAACTCGTCAAGGTGTACACGCATGTGAGCTATCCGATTCCCTGCCGTTCTCTTTTCGCTTGCTCTTTAGCGAGCATTACTTTCTTGGCGAAGAGATGCATGGCTGACCACTGCCGCCGTCCACCGAGCATCGCTTCCAAAATCTTACCGAGATCTGGAGGGTCGATATCTCCCAGTTCGAAACAAAGGGAGTCATACAGGTTATAGCGGTGCCAAAACCAAGCCCTACATTCTAGAAGGGTATGATCCGCGCTATCCCGCTTCCCGCTTGTGCAGTGAGCGCAGATGGGTGAGGGAGTCCTATCTATCTTGTACAGGAACTCGTTGAAGCATCCGTGGCCGCTCAGAAGCTGAGTCATTCGAAACGTCAGCGAACCGTAGGTGCGACCCAGCCATGCTCCGAGAAGAGGGGTTAACGCCTCCCTAATTCTAACCCCCGCCTGCCTATCGTGATCCTCCAGAAGAGTTCTCCAATCTTCGATCGCCCTACAGTCTGCCTCCCTCCTTAGCTCCTTCTTCGCGCGAAGAGAGAGAGAGAGCCGCGGTCTCCGCTCCTCCCTCCTTCTCCCTCCAATACAATCGCACAAGACGCTCCGCTCTAATTTTGAAAGGGAAAATCCCAGCTAACAATGTTGAACCTATGTATGATATAGTTCTATATCCGTAAATTATCTTGATCGACAATGTCTTTATTATATTCTTCATCTCTTTTACAGGGAACGATTTATAATTTAATCGATTCGCCCAGATGGGAGCACCGTAGTAAATGACGGACTGCACAACAAAAGCGTATAACCGTCTCTTATTTTGTCCAGGTCCCCTCAGGTTCGGCATCAATCTGCCAACAGCTCCTACCAACTTTCTTGCACGCGGGATGACGTACATCAGGTGATCTCTGAATGTGAGTTGCATATCCAATATAAGTCCGAGATATTTGATCTTATTTGTTACGTTTATGGCTAATCCTCGAAACCCTTTTAATTTTAGGTAGAATATCCGGCAAAACAAGATTCCTCTTGCAAAAGACTGCCACTTCAATCTTCTCAACAGCTACGTTTAATCCCAATTTTTCTATTTTATCAACCACTGTAGCTGTGTAGGTTTCCGCTCTGTGGACCGCTGTCCTAAAGTCCCTGGCCATTGCGACTAATAGTGTGTCGTCTGCATAGCATGAGATGTGACAACCATCAGCGTCATCATCTTTGATGAGAATCTGATCGTATGCTATGATCCATAACAGTGGTCCTAAAACTGATCCCGATGGGACTCCTCTAGTGATCTTCAACTCCTCAAACCACCATTCCTGTTTGTATATGCCGCTTTCCTGTTACACAAATACGCTCTAATTATAGTTCGTAAATAATCCGGTACACCTTTCTTTTTCAGCGCCGACATTATGACGTTCCAGTGTATGGAATTGAAGGCATTCCTGATATCCAGGCTGACCAACACCGCGTAGCAATTTCCCCTGTTTGCTGCATCAATTATATCCTCCTGATGGCGTCAATCGTGGATCTGCCACTTCTAAAACCGAACTGATAACTCGATAGCAGGTTGCCTTTCTCTAAAAATTCGCTCAACCTATTGGCTATTAATTTCTCAAATAATTTTCCTATGGTGTTTAGTAGGCAGATTGGTCGAAACGAACAACAAAACAAGTTATCCGGAGGTTTGTTCGGTTTATTCAATAGAACCAATTTGGATACCTTCCAGTCCGCAGGAAAATATGACTTCTGGAGGCACCTCGAGAATATCGTAGCAAACACCCCTCCCGCAAGTCCAACTGCAGGTATAAGGATCTTGTACGGATGTCCATCTGGTCCTGGGAACTTTCCATTATTCTTTAACCTGTTTGCCGCAATTTCCAATTCCGGAACAGTGATCTTAGGTACGTCGCTCAAACGCGCACAAGGACGAAAACTCCACGGCGCGTCACGACCATCATCGTGCGGAAAAAGATGCGTAATAACCTTGCCTATAAACTCCGGTTCGAGGGTCTCACAGATCGGCGGAGTGAATGCTCTAAGTTTCCCAGTAACCAGTCTGTATGAGCGATCCCAGGGATCACTCTCTATCGAGTCAATCAATTCCTGCATCGTCCTTGGCTTTTGCGATAGCCGCCCTAAGCTTTCCCCTAGCCGCCTTTAGCTCCATCCACAACCGCTGCCAAATCCCGCTATCCTTACGAGCCGGTGCTCTGGTGTACCTTCTTCTCGCCCTCTTACACTCTTCCCGGAGCCCCGCAATCTTCTCATTCCACCAGTAAACTTGCTTCTTGCCCGGGCGTCCATAAACTCTTGGCGTTGCTACGTTGCACGCATCCCTTACTATCCTCATCACCCTCTGAATAAGAAGGTCCAGGTTCATCGCATCAATTCCTGAGAGAGTCCAAAAACCCGCATGGAGTGACGCCAGGAGTCTGTCCCTGTCGAGCTTGTTAAGACTCCACCTTGGGAAATTTTCCTAGTTCTAGGGATTTTCTTGGAACCGTCATGTGGGATGTCTATAATAATGGTTTTGTGATCGGACGCATTGTATTCGTCCGATATCCTCCAATGCGGAGTCAGATTCCAGAGTAGACTATTGCCCCATGCCAGGTCAATCGTCGAACTTCCTTGCACTCTGCAGCACGTAGCAATTCCAGGAGTGTTCAGTAAATTCAATTTTAATCCGCAGAACCAGTCAAACAACATACCACGAATATTATTGTATTTGTCCCATTCATGAAAACGTGCATTAAAATCTCCGGCCAATAAAATATACGTATTCCCAGCAGATGCTATGATATTTAATAAAGTCCCCATAAAACTTTCGAAGTTCTCCACTCCCTGAGGGACCGACTAGGAGCAAAGTATACATTTATGATTAAATAGTTGTCGGCCCTGGCTGCCACAATGCCCGGAGCAGAGTCGTGTAATTGCCAATTATATGTGAACTTGTCATTAATAAATAAAACCACCGTAGGGGGGTTGATAAAAACCATCTGTCATTGTTCCGGCTCGCAAAATATGGTTCCGAGATGACAGCATGAGCCTTTGATTCAATGATCGTATTAATTATTAAATCCTGTGCTGTCGAACATTTGTTTAGGTTAACTTGTACTATTCTCATTTTAGGGGCTCGATATCCATATTATTTGTGTCGTCCGCATTATTTATAGTGTCATTCCCGTGTGGGCTGTTACCCCGACTGGTGGATTTCCTCTGAACATCTAGCTACACAGTCATACACGCCACCACAAATTGGTAACAATAAACTGGTGACCCACCAAGTGGTACACACCATAATATATTTATATATTTATTTATATATTTATTCAGTTTTTAATAGCTATATCTAAATATCTTTATAAGATCACAATAAATTTTTTTAATATAATAATTACTTTTTGCAAATAAAAAGCGTATATATTGGCAAAGAGTGGATTTTTGTATTTACAAATTTTAATTTTTATTTAGGTATGAAAAAAATATATTGTAATAATGTTATTAACTTAATAAAATAAATGTATAAAAGTGTAAAAATAATCGACAATGGCATCGCGCCTCGCATGATTAATTCGTGTCATGTCATGAAACGCCAGCTTCAAATCAGCGGTACAGCGTTTTTCGAGAAAAAAGAAGACAGTAGTTGTCGGTATTCCTTCTCTACCGCTCGAAGCCGAAGCGCGGAGCGTACACGGACGAGCGCTCGCGCTAGTGTGTGTGCCAGCCTATCCCCTCTACGTGCTGCAGCGTGGCTGCAATCGTCATGAAATGGCATCCCTGTGTATACGGCCTATGTACGATCTAACGATTATCACCCATCGCATTCGCGATTCAACCACGCCACGAATATCACAAAGCGGCAAGCGAAAACCATACGGCGTTATGCTGAGAGAGACGAAACATCATCTATATAAATTAACCTCACATCTAAGTTAATAATAAATTCCACTATTTTGAGTAATTAAAACCAGGCGATCGCTACTCTTTCCCGAATCCGGCATCCAACGAGCCTCTCCGAGCTCACATCTCCGTATCCGTACCGTGTATTGTCCGACTGCGCAGGGACGTACCGTTACAATACT